AATTTTCAACACACATTTCAAAACAGTCCTAATCTGTTGAGCCGATACTTGAAAAAAAAACAGCGACCATTACGCAGAAAGTACAGAACTTCATAAACATTTGCCTTAAAAAGATCCTGAACGTTAAATTGTCAAACACAATCACCAACAAAGACTTAGTGGAAAGGGAATACCAGAAGCCTATTTCTGAAGACATCATAAGGAAAAGATGGCGGTGGAATAGGGCACACTCTTTCTAAACCCCCATGTAACATCACCAGACAATGCCTAGCATGGAATCAACAAGGAAAAAGAAAGGGAGGAAAGCCTAAATATACAATCAGATGCGAGTTGGAGGAAAACACACAAAGTAAAGTGTGTACAGCACTTGGAAGCAACTGAAACGGAAAGCACAGAAACGAGACGAATGTAAAATTCTTGTTGTCGGGCTTCCCCATACTGGGTAAAGGGCATAAGTAAGTAAGTAAATAGCGCTGTCCATAGAATATGTCCCAACTTGGCCGTGCACGGAATTATTTTTATTTTTTTTCCGTCACGTGTAAATACCATCACAATTGCTAAGATCCCGAGTTATTTCCAGGTTTCATTGCATGTAGATAACTTCCGGCACATCAACTGGATCTACCGAGGGGGGTGGGGGTGGGTAGGATATGATGGGATGAGAATGAGTCGGTATATGAAAAAGCAAAGTTATAATAAAAGTTTTTTTTTGTTGTTTTTTTTTCAATTCGAAGACGCATCAGTACAAGGACTTGGGAGGGGGGGGATGATAATGCGTCTGTATATGAAAGAGCAAAGTTATAACAAAAGTTTTGTTTTGAATTAGAAGACCCATCAGTACAACCTGGACTAGACGTTATCAACCAATAAAAGAAAATACATAACTATGCTAAGAGAAGGAAAGTCTGTTGAAACCATAAAAATTAGTAACCACACTTTCAAAAAATTAAAAACTCAAAATTAAAAACATTACAAGAAAAAAAAATTAAAATACAACTGTAATCAGACCAGTTGTAACATACGCAAGAGAAACTTGGACCATAACAAAAACTGCAGAAACAACAGCTTGGAATCAAAATATGGAAAAGAAAAGCATTAGTTAGGTCTGAGTGGGAGGGTGTGGTGAGGAAGGCCAAAGCACTACACGGTCCTTGGCGCCATAGCTTCAATAGTATATTTTTTAAGCTGCCATACTGGAGCCTACCTTTCCAAAAAATCATCCAATATATATATATATATATATATACTTAGTGGAAAGGGAATACCAGAAGCCTATTTCTGGAGACATCATAAGGAAAAGATGGCGGTGGAATAGGGCACACTCTTTCTAAACCCCCATATATATATTATTTTTATATATACTGTTGTGTTAGGTGTCTTCTTGGGCTGAACTCTTATAATATGATCTGGGGCGAATGACAAAGGAAGCAGTCTCTTGATTTAAAATAAAAAGAAGAAAATAATGGCCACCATTAAAGTGGGTTATATTAAAGTTTTATTTCATGTTCTTTATTATTGTCGTCATACAAAATGTTAGTTCCTTTAGACAAGCGTTCCTCGAATGGTTATAAATGTATCAGTACCGGTCCGTGAGCCTTAGGTTGCCGGTTCGCAAAACATTTAATTGTTGTGATCAAATTTAAAAAAAAAAAAACTATGATAACAAAAATCTGGCATTTGTCACGGTTTCATTTTCAAAACTTGTCCACTGGTCCATGAAACTTAAAATTTGGGAAAACCTTCATTAGATCATGGGGCATAATGTGACCCATAGAGGGGCCAACTACAATGAACTATCGCTATCTTTAGACCGGGCCTACTACAATGAACTATCACTTTCTATGAACCTGGGCTATTTCGATGAATTATCACCATCTACGAACCAAAGTTGTCTGTACATTGAGACTGAATAATTTTCTTAATCTGACCATGCATCATCATACCGAAAAAAAAAAGATTGTAAACACATGATCATTTTTGAAAGTCACAGATGCAATGGATTTACTCTCACATATCGACCGACCTTTGACCTATCCCTTTTAGTTGGAGGATTGTTTTGCCCATTCCCTCCTCACCCCGAATTTCTGGTTAATTAGGTAAAAAAAAAAGCTAAATTCCCTGATTAAGACGTAGACATTTTTTTTCCGGACTTCCAGTATCTCATAACAATGAGAAGTAATATATGACAAAATAAATTTATACCAAGCGAATTTTAATCCCTAAAATATCTGCCTTTTCGTCGCACTTGGGGGCCGTCCATAAAGTACGTCCCGCTTTTTTCAACATTTTTACACCCCCCCCCCCCTAAAGTACGTTACACTTTCAAAACAAATTAAAAAAAAAAAAAATTAATTCCTAATTGTTTTTCCACATTTTTTCCCCCCCCCCCCCCCCTAAAGTACGTTACACTTTCAAAACAAAATAAAAAAAAAAAAATTAATTCCTAATTGAAATTTAATCTAAAACACACTTCCTATTAAACTGTATCAAAATATAACATTTCCACTTAATTTTCACTATCACATTATTAAAATGACTTTAATAGTAGAATAGTTAATTGTCATCAGTTGTCACAGTTATTCATTGAACAGTAATTCAATCTAGATTGAATTTGAAAACAAAAATTGCACAAATTAGAGTAGACAATTATATAATACACATCATTTATCTGCTGCTTTTTCATTTACAATAAGTGAGGTCAAGTTTTAGATAATCTTCCGATTATGCAATCTTTTTACACAGGTTAAGAAGTATATTAGAGAAACTTGACCTCACCAAATGAATAAATAATAAAAAGGACAGTGACATAATTATGCAGCGGACAACATAGAAATAATAATACTTTAAGAAAGAGGAAAGCAAGAGTATGCATATAACAAGGCTTTGCAGCAGAATACTAGCGCTCCTAGCGAGAGGAACCGTGAACAACACATTCAGGAGATACGCATTTCCTTCTATTTTGACATAAAACTAATTCAAATGATACACACAATTTTTGAAAATTATTTTTAAAGCTATTAAATTCCACTAAAAATTAAAAAATAAATTAGAAATAAAATGTAAAAAAAAAATTAATGTGTGACGTCAAACGGGGGCTGACCCCCCCTCCTTCTCCCCTGTCACAAACTGTCACACTTTCTTACACCCCCTTCCCCCCCACCCCCCCTCTGGAGCGTGACGTACTTTATGGACGCCCCCTTGGCCGAAAATGCCGTCCACCTCCATGTAGAGAAAAAGGCCGAGAGGAGCGGAATCCCACTTTCTGTTCCACTGTTTTTTTTAGCAAATATATTTTGTCCCACAGATTGGTTGGATGCAAACCGCACAGACGAGAATGAAATCTTCCTTTGGACCAAATCCAAAGAACCAGTGGGTGGCGGGTACTGGTACGAGAACCACCCCTTGAAAGAAAGAAACTGTTTATCGGCCAGTGTCTTTAAAAAGAAAATATATTCTGAAATGTGCACGTTAAGCTATAAATGCATATGTTCTGCTACACGTAAGTTATGTGACGTTTCGGCTTTGCTTTATTATCTTTCTTCGTGTCATCAAAACCATGAAACTATTTAAATCTGGCATCGATATTTTTTCCTCTCTTGTTTATGAGTTGACCAAGGGCAGTTGTATTAAATTAATCATTTTGATGTGTTCCCCTTATCCTCAGTTGCTTCCCATCACTTAACTCGCTCCCATCCATTAACTCCTAAACGTCAACTGTTACTCAACTTAGATAACCGTAAAGCCCCTCTTTTCTATCACCCAATTATTCATATTTACACTTGCTCTGCTCCATTAATCCAATGGACTCTTATCAACCTCTCCCTAAACATCTTTTACCGATTAATTTAAAATCCATCGTCACATAAATGTTCCATTTTGCTCTTACACCTAACCTTGTGGGGGACAATATTAATATTAGTGTAAGAATTTATTAAAAAATCATTTAGCGAAACCTGGGTAACTTAAATGGAGAAAATGAAATAAAAAAAAATTAAAACAAATTAATTAATTTAAAAAAATAATAATAAAGAAATCATTGTTGAAATTTCACAAACATTATGATTGAAAAATAAGTCTATTTGTTTTTAAATTTTAATATTATCACTCTGAGACAAATAAAAAGAAGAATAGACAATAGTTTGTGTTAACTTTTATTTCATATTCATAATGTTAATAAAGGAAAGAGAATAATGCAGAAGTCTTCTTGCCGACACATTCGTTAATTTCTGCGTCTCATATTTAGTTTAATTTTTTTTTATTTTTAGGTTCTGCGCTAATTTCCTAAATGTTAAAAGTTATAAATTATACCATTGCTTATAATTGATCTCCATTTAATGGAGGCAAGGTCAATACGTCCGGCGACCGGACAATTAATAGTGTGGGAGATATTCATCCGGAGGGCATGTCTCGCTTTATTGTCACTTTTTAACCATTTGTTCATTACAAATGAAGTGAAATCATTAGAACACTTTTAGTAATAAGTGAAGAGAAAAAATAATCAAAAAAAAATATATATAAAAATCTTTACAGTCAATAAATAACTATCATGTAACTGAATATAAAACAAACAAAAAATAAATTATAAATAGTCTAAAAGAGCTTCGTAAAATGTGCTGACAATTTATGGACTATGCGCCAACTATATGATATATGGCATAGCACGATGCCTGGGTTCATTTTTAAGAACTCTAAGGACGACCATTAAATCTGGGAAGAATGTAACCATCCCTTAATGCTTTGATATCACACTTTTCAATTCTTGGTTTATGCATTCAACGCGATTTGTAGTGACGTTCACGAAATTCAAGCTTTGTTGAAATGGTCACCGGATGAATATCTTGAGAATATATTCGTCCGGTCTTCGGACATATAGACACTTCTTTTAGAGAAAAGCTTATTGGACATGGGAAATTACTCTAAGACTGCTATACTATAGGCTACTGCATTCACGACATGTATATATCAATAGATAGTAAATAATGTAGGCTTCAGGTCTAGATATTTTAAGTAATGTAACCATCGTAAACAGCTAATGTAAATATTTCACAAATTTTTAGAATACCGACTTTTAAAAGTGTATTTGTAATGCAATCATCCTCTAATAATCTTAAGCTTTAAGCGATGCCAACTAAAACTAAAAATATTACTATTATTATTATTATTATTTTATAAGAAAGTGTCTATTTGTAGTTAACTACGCCTATAGTCTATAGTCTATAGCCTATAATCAGGGAGCTATTTGTATTAAACTACCAATAGTTTCTAGAGAGCTATTGGTAGTCCAGCTAATCAAATTCAAATCATACCAAAATCTGAGCTTTAATACCCCTTCCAATGCCAGGCTGGCGAAGTAGTATTGCCCTGTTCATTACTAGTTTGTACTAGTGATAACACTAACACCTCTGCACTAATTATAAAATCTACAGTATCAGTAATGTTTTAAAGTTTTAACACTATCTGCTGTAGCCTTCCCCATGCTCAGATTTGGCTATATTGCTATTTAATTTATAATATACCTAAATAGATAGATGTATGAGTATGAGACTGTGGGAAAGGGAAGGGGACCATAGCCTGGAAATTTGTTACCCAGCTTCTTCTTTGCCAAGGCGCCAAGTAAGATGACTAAGATGTGCAGCTGTAAACATTTTGTGTATGCTAATTATTATGATTAAAATTAAAATATAGGCCTAAATAATTACCATAAGAAGTTTTACTGCATACAAAGTCTGCATATTAAAATCAAAATCTTTTTACTTTAACTTTATTTAAATGAACTGTATAATAACGTAATTAGGCTTAACGATGATAAATAAACTTAGCATTGTTTAGGAACATGGTCACTTGAACCAACACATAACCCTGCGAGTTATTCCCAGCCGACTGCGTATAACGCTCAGGGTTATACGCAGTCGGCTGGGAATTTAGTCAAATAAGGTTTATTACCGCTAGTTTGGCAATTCTTAAAAAAGTATTATGCGTAATTAGCTGCATTATGGGTTGTTTTGAACCCTAACTTTTAATGTGATTAACGTACAAATTTTAATTGAATTAATTTTAATTAATATTGAATAACAGTAATAGTAGTAGTGCTATTATTAGTATTATTGCTTGTATCTTATATATTATAATTACGATATAAGTCAAAGTCTAAATTCCTTCTTAAGTCTAAGACTAAGAAGATGATTATGCCTTAAGGCATTTCCATGCTTTAAGTCTAGTCCTATATTCTGATTGATTAGGTTTTTATATGTTGCTATGACACTATGACTATATGGTTTGTTTTACTGACTAATTCAGGAAATATATTCTATTAATTTTTTTTAAAATTATATCATTTATGATTTATTTTTTTTTTGGGTGACCTATAACTGTGAGATAGTAGTACTTACAGTGCCCCCTCTACAGAACCCCCTGACCCTACAGCTATTTTTTTCTGCTACTCTCCACCCCTGATTATAATTACTGTACCAGAGAAACATGTTTTTATCTGCCACAAAATTAGTTAACAGCACAAAACATATATTAACAACACAAACATATATTATGATAAATATAAGTCGTATAATAATAACACTATTAACATTACATTGGCCAAGTTTTTTTTTTTTTCTTTTTGCTTTAGGTTTTTTTTGCAGACTCAGTATTGCTTGGTGTAATAATCAGCTTTGACTGATAAGGCATTTTCAAATTTATTTATGCTTGCTTTAACTGTGTCACTTCTGTTCATGCCAAGTATAACTATATCAATCTCATCGGCGTAAGCCAGGTACTGCATTGGCTGGCTATATAAAGCTCCTGATGTAAAAAAACTGAACTGGTAAAAAGACATAAACAGGTGAAATGAACAAGAATAATGTTTAAGTATTTTAATATGATATCAATTTAGTGAGAGAGGTTATGATTTGTTACTATCTGTTCATGTGTTCCCAGAGTGTCCACCCAATTGTGGAGATAATGGATTGTGTGATGAGACTAGAACCAAGTGCTTGCATGGGTGCCAGCCTGGATGGTATACAGAGAATTGTTCATTAGGTATTTCTTTTGAATGTGTACAACTACTTATGATTGTATAACTGTCTGTTAGAACGTGTATAAATTAAATGAATATATAACCATAGCCTTTTTATTTTAATAGAAAAAATATCTTGCTTAGTTTTCTTAACAATTGATTTTTAATGTTACATTTTGAAAAATATTAAAATAATAGTGAAAATCAATTGCTTGACGTCAATTAAAAAAAAAAAATTAAACTATATGGTTTTATCTAAAATATGTATACTTTAAATTAAGTTAATATTAAACTTAATAATAAAAATTAATTTGTTTATGTTAAAATATTAATTATAAAAATAATTCTTTAGGATACATATTAGTTGAAAGCTTTTGATTAAGCTTTGATTATAACTTATAAGATAAAAGCACAAATATAATATGGTTATTATTATTTATTTTTTTTTTGAGTTAAAAAACATATTTATTTTAAATAATATTATTATAAGGGAGATAATCTTTAACTTAATAAGTGGCAATCCACAAAACACTTCACACAGCTGTGAAATGGAGGAGGTGTGTGGTCAAGAATTAGTGATGATTTGTGATTAATGTGCTTCAAATTTGTTGCTATATGGGCCTGTGGGAAAAGAGGGAAAAATCAGCAAAAAATGGATGTATTCATTTATGGATGGCCCTGTAGTTAAATCTAGTTGATAAATTTGTAGTATTTAAAGGGACAAACACTTTTATACATCTTTGTTTTTCTAGACATAATCACCTATTTAATTAGGATTTTATACTTCTTTTTATATAATTATGTATTATTTAAGCTCTACACATTTTCACCTATTTAATTAGGATTTTATACATCTTTTTATTTGATATAATTATATATTATTTAAGCTTGTCCAGAAAACTGTGGAGGAGATGGATCATGTCACATTAATGAAGGCAGGTGCATTGTGGGATGTAAACATGGCTATTATTCACCCGACTGTTCCCTCGGTAATACTTGCTTAAATGTGTAACCGTCAATGTTGTCTGTTAAAATTTGTGATGGAAAATAGTTTGTTAAAAGACTTACAGTACTATTTTTGTCAAACCAAAAGAAACATATAGATGTGAACAATCAGCCATTTTTGTTTTATTCCAATTAAAAACAGATGTCTATATATTAATAATATTATTGTGACAAAGACATTGTAGCATGAGTGATAGATTGTCTTCTTTTTTCTCTTAAAGATTTTTTTTTAGATGTTTCAATCAGTAAATTTGTTTTTTTCTGATTTTTTAAATATTTTATTAAATCAGATTGAGTTAACTATTTGTGTAAATAAGTTATTTAAAAGAACTTCTTTCCACATATTATGTGGACAATGTAAATTGTTTACATATCTTCTAAAAAGATTTTCAAAAGTCCACTATGCATTGTTTTAAGATGCTCAATTTAAGCCAATATGTATTACCTGTCAATACCTAACTGTTCACAATAAAAATCTAAATATCAATGGAATCATAACAAGATTGCCTCTTAAGAAATTTATTTATGTTAAATAACACTGGTCTTTTACCACTTTAAAGATGTTAAAAGACATTTTCAGCTGTGTGCCTCCGCATCCAAATTCAGTTGAATAGAAAGGTTTTTAATATGTACATATTTGTGATATTGGGTGATGTAGTTTTATAGGCATTATGACATAAATACAATTAAAATTCTTACAACTCCTGCAATGTTACTGTTGCCAAGTTGTATCATCCACAAATGATGTTCCTTTGGGTTATCCAGGTGCGTGGAGACAGACAATTTATTGTCAAAGGAACCATGTTTTACTCATAAAGAGTAAACCCTGGCCTTGTGATTTTGTCCTGCGAAGTCTGCACCATCGTCAAAGTGTTACAGAGGGAGGCCAGAAAAATTATAATGTTTGGAGTTATGCAATTTAAATTCAACATGACTAGTTTGACTTGAATGACATGAGAAAAGGAGTTCACACATAAAGATAGAGAAGTTAATATTAAAAAAAAAAAATTTCATTAGTTTAAAGTATTTTTCTTTTAGTCTGGTTTTGAACATTAAAAAGAAAGACATTTTAGTTTTAAAAGTGGATTAAACTGAAAGATACAAAATATGCCTACACTATAACCAATTTTTAACCTGGTCTGTAACAAAAATTTAACAAAAACATAAAAATAAAGTTGATTTCTCAAATATATTTTTAACAACTAAGTAATTTATTGAATTCCCAGCAAAAGTCTATTCCATTAAAAAAATCTTTGTGTTCTTACGTTAAATGCACTTTTTTCCACCTATCAACAGATTGCCCACCCAACTGTGATTTAGATGGATCATGCAGTTTTCATGGTGGCAGATGCATATTTGGATGTAAAAAAGGATATTATTCACTTAACTGTTCACTACGTAAATAAATATATTTCTTTTTACATTTTGATATATTATATTTAAATGTAGTAGTTATAATAATAACATTAAGTTAAGTTTAAAGAAATAACAAACTAGACATCTAGTTTAAAATTCTTACTTACTTCCTTATGCGATTTACGCTGTCTACAGGAATTTTCCATTCATCCTGGTCCTGTATTTTTCTTTCCATTGCTTCAAGGTGAATCCCATTTTTTGTATGTCTGCCTCAAGCTTAGATCACCATGTATTCTTAGGCCTTCCTCTCTATTATTTTCCATGTGGAGTCCATGCTAGGGTTTGTTTGATGAAATTATCTGAAAAGGTGGGGGGGGTATGAAGAGTATGCCCTATCCACCTAAATCTTTTCCTTATGATGTCTTCAGCAATATACTCCTAGTATGTCCTTTCCAGTAAGTCTTTGTTGATGATGGTGCTTGGCCATTTGATGTTGAGGATTTTTTTAAAGCAAGTGTTTATGAAGGACTGTACTTCCTGTGTAATGGTCGCTGTTGTTTTCCAAGTTTCGGCTCCATAGAGTAGGACTGTTTCGACATTTGTGTTGAAATTTCTGACTTTGGATGACAGGGTCAGCTCATTTGACTCCCATATTTTCTTTAATAGTAGCACAAATGCTGACCTAGCCTTCCCAATTCTCATCCTAATATCTACTACAGATCCACCATTTATGTCAATGGTGGTGCCAAAGTATGTGAAGGCCTCAACTGCTTCCATGCCATTTCCTGCTTGGTTGGATGAATTTACCTTCATGATCATTGTCTTGCTTTTTTTTTATAGTGAGTCTGAGCAGTGCTGAAGTGTTGGCTACATCTATAGTCTTTACTAGCATTTATTGCTGGTTGTGGGACAAAAGTGCAAGGGTATTCACTGTATCCTGCTTCTCTTTTGTCTGTGGATTTTTTCATTATCCAGTCAATGGTGATGATGAATATGAAGGGAGACAAGAGACATCCTTTTCTGTTTCCTGCTCCCAATTTAAATGCATCTGTGAGTTTAACTTCATTAACCACCATACATGTCATTTCTTTATTAGATCTCTGAATGATCCTGATTAGAGTTCCTGGTACCCAAAAACACCAAAGAAGTTTCCATACGTTTAGTCAGCCCAGGCTAACAATGGTCTGTTTGTAGTTGAAAAAAAGTCAGGTGTAGGGAAGATTGTCATTGGATGGGCTGTTCTACAATGATTCGTAATGTTGCTATTTGATGTGGGCATGATCTGTTTCAAAGGCAGCCAGCCAGATGAATTTGTAGTTTTGTGTCAACATGGTCCTTTATTCTATTTAAAATAATTCCATTGAAGAACTTTCCTGATAAGGTCAGCAGTGTAATTCCTTGGTACTTTGCACTGTTGTTGAGGTCCCTTTTCTTTGTTATCTTGACAATATATCCTTCTTTGCAATGTTTTGGAACTCTCTCTTCTTCCCATATTTTTTCAAACAGAGGATGCAGCATTATAGCTATTGTATTTATATTTACTCACATTCTCATAATTTCTTTGTTATTGTTATCTGGTCCCAAGAATGTTCTTATTTTGAGCTGCTTGGTTACCAGGGCTATTTCTTCTTGATTTGGAGCACTGTCTTCTGTTTGTAAATCTTCATTTACTGGTTGTATGTCTGGCTTCTCTGTGGGCTGAGGACTGTTTAGTAGTTCCTTTAAGTTTCCACCCATCTTTTTTGTACTTTTCATTCTGTTATTGATCTACCTTCATTGTCTTCCTTGTGTCAAAAGTTGTAGGAAAAAAAATTGTTCAATTTATTTTGCTACATAAAATTAAATTAATGATTAATGTGTTATCTGGACATTATCCTATATTATTAAAAATTATTTCCTATTCCTTTTGTTGTATCATAGCATGCCCAAAAAATTGCAAGGTTAAAAAAGAATCCCATCATCCTTGTAACTTTTTAAATGGGAAATGTAAATATGGCTGTGAAGATGGATACTATGGTGCATCATGCTTAAAAGGTGAGTTGTTTTGCTATAAAAATATTGATTTATTATTTTTATGAAAGACTTCCAAAATGTATGGCTTACTAAGCTAAGATTTTTTTGGTTAAATTAAAATAAAAAAGCTATACCTATATATTTTCAAATCCTTCCCAAATGTATGGAACAGATATATTTAAAAAAAAAATAATTGAATATTTGTCTATATTTCTTTTCTTTTTAAAGGTCTTAACACTTAAAGGGATTTTTTAAACTAAAATGTTAAACATGTTTGTCAATAAGTAACACGTTTCCTGAAATACTTACTCTTATATTTTAGTAAGTGTCCTGAATGAAATATATCTAATTCATGTATTTGGAAAGTAAACTTGGATAGTATAATAATCTGGAATCTCAAAACATTTTGAAAAATGCCTCGAAATTTAAAAAAAAAATATTTCACTAGATCATATGACCTGATGTTACTGTGATAATAAGGTTACCTTTTGTGATCCTTGCTACCTCCTATTGCGAAGTCTCAAATCCTAAAAGCTAAAAATCCAAATTTTACATAAACGTATTTGGCATATGTTTTTTTTATACTAAAAAATAAAAAAAAAAACAACCTTACCATATTCCACTCCTCAGAAATCTATATTTAGGAGATATTTAATCAGGCTTTCCTTTTTTCCAAAATAGAATTATCCATGTAATACTCTTTACGTGTCTAACATCATTTAGTGTGTAGTAATATTTATTTGCTCTATAATATGAGCCAACCCAACCCCTTTTTAACCCTCTGTATTAAAATTTTATTTTCTCTAAAAATTTTAAAAACATTTCTTAAATTAACTAAAGAAAATCGATACACGATTTTAAATATCAGTAACATTAAATTACTTTGACATAATGATATTTTCCTTAAACATTTAACCAAACTGTATTTCCAGAATATAGAGACATAGAATTTGTTATCTAAAGGAAAATCATTTAAGTCATTTTTTACATTTGTAACATCCATTAGAGATTTTTAAAATAAATATTGTTAATCGCATGAAAATCTACACCTACTTTTAAATGAACTTTACTTTTCCCAAAGTGGAAATAATAATATATTTTCATATTTTTAAAGAAAATCTTAAACCATATTTTTTTTTATGCTGCTGAAATGTGAGATATTTTCTCAAAGGCGTGGATCAAATGTTAAAAACTGCATTTGGTTATGCCCTGTTAGATAACTAACATCTTAATAATCAATAGAATCTCATTATATTTTATATACATTTTTTTCTTCAATATTTGAGAGCCCACAATAAATTTATTGATCATTCTGTCTCCTGGTTTGAATTCAGAGTTTTCAATCTTATCAAAGTCTAACAAGTCCCCCCCCCCCACTCCCCCGTGCTTGAGATATTTTTACTTGTTTTGGTTTACTCCTTACTTGGTTTTCATGTTTGAATTCAGATTTTTCCACTTTATCAAAGTCTAACAAGTCCCCCCCCCCCCACTCCCCCGTGCTTGAGATATTTTTACTTGTTTTGGTTTACTCCTTACTTGGTTTTCATAAAAAATTGATACTTTTATACAAAACATGTCATATCAACTAAATAATCACTTTAAAACTGAGCAAAAAATAATGCAATTACAACAAACCTTGAAACAGTTCCTTTGTTGTTATGTTTACCTAACACTGTAATCAACATTTCAAAATGTTTCAGTGTGCTCAGAGGACTGTATGTGGCAGCTGTGTGAACAGCATACAGGACTTTGCAGTGGAGGCTGCAAACCAGGGATTAGTAAACCAGTATGTAACACATGTAAGTAAATATGTTACACAAGGAAGCAAATATGTTATACATGTGAACCATTCATGACACATGTAAGCCAGTGTATGACATATGTAAGTCAGTATGTTACGGATGTAAGCCAATATGTTACACATTTAAGCAAATATGTTGCACCTTAAAGCCAATCTGTAAATCTATTTAAGCAACTATGTAACTAATGTAAGTAAATAATTAATTCATTTAACACAATGTACGACATATATTAGGTAATATGTGACACAAGCGAATGTGACAAATCAACATACATGTCATCTTGTAGAATTAAAACAAAAAAAGTTCAAAATTTCCTAAAAAACTGTACAACATGAAAAACTGTACAACATGAAAAACTGTACAACATGAAAAACTGTACAACATGAAAAACTGTACAACATGAAAAAACTGTACAGGAAAATGAAAAAGCCCCTAAAAGTATATAGTATAACTTTATCATAATATTTTTCAATGCAGAGAATTCGAATACATGTTTAAAAAATGAAAAGCTTCCTCTTCCCTGTGCATACCTTTGAGCTTGTCTACATCATTCATAAATGATACATCGTATCTGTTAAATGAAAATAAATTATTTTTTAACTCCTATTTTTATCAAAGTTTTAATTTTTTTAAACCTGTTCAATAGTAGTTAAATTAAAAATGAACGAAGTAGAAATTTTGCCTCTCTTGACCAAGCTATTGAGTTTACCTTCAGCTTATAACCTTACATTTCCCTGCCAAGTAGTTTAATGTCATGAGGAAAGTAGGTTTTTTGTTTGTTTTTACTCTCTGCACCGTTTGAAAATAAAGTCTTAATTGGAAGGTTCCAGCCGTAGTAAAATAATAAATATGCAAAAAATAAACAAAATATAGCCTACAATTCTCACTGATTTTAGTTCTAAATGATGTTTACTTATACAATTAAAAAGATCACACCCTCTTTAAGTTTTAGAAAGCTTAACACTTAAAAACAGTCTATACTATGGTAATACATAGGAACAATGATTAATGCTGGTTATAGGTTGATAGTACTATTGAATATTTTTAATTATTTGATTGCAACTAAATAAACACTTCTGCTGAATTAGTATTAACATCACTTCGGAGATGGTTTCGGTGGGTCGTCGAGTTTGCACTCATAATACCGGCACTCCCCCAAACGGGCCAGAGCCGAAGCTCCAGACCGTGGGGAAGCGCGCCAGGAACTTCCCTCCTGGCCTGAGGGACGTCTGGCGGACCGAGGGCGCTGCGTTTAAAGTGTCCGTAGTCCACTCTCCTATGGGTCAGGACGGCTTTACTTCCTCTCCGGAGAGGTGGTGTTGCGTTACCACTCCCCACCGCCCAGGGAGCTGTCCGGTCGGGACGTAGCGGAGACGAAACGGTTGACTAGGGGCGGCTTTCTCAGGGCCGCGTCTTTTTAATCATTGACAAGGGTTTGGGTGGCCAACCATTGTCTCATACCCATCAATGGCAACAGTATTCATGTTAGCGCTAAACTTCTGTTGCGTAGGAAGTCATGGGCTTGACTGGGATTTTTTAGCTTCAGAAGCCATTCAGTGAGTTCTCTTAGCAAAATCGGGGACTTATTAAATCTCATTCAGATGTGTGACTTCAGAGGAAGCATGCCGGTAAATTCATACAGATTGGGGAATACTCGGGCAACTTGAACTAACTGCAGTAAAGGCAGCATCCACTAGGTTTTCTTTACATCACTCTTAGTCATTGGGCATTTACAGTGTGGCATACATTTCTTGTTTTTATCTTGAAATATCTATCAATAAATATGTATGTATATATATATTTATATCTATAAATAAATACATATTTCTCAAAATGTTTTGTGAAAAGAAAAATCAAGTACTTTAGTAATTTTATTGTTAGCTCATATTTTTAGCTCGTATCTCACGAACATCGTTAGAAGATATGCATATTCAAAATTGAACCAAGTAACATTTTACAAACAAATTCATGATGTAAACAGGTGTTGGGAACATAACTCATTTGATATGTTGGGAGAGTATGCATGTGCAGTTTATGTGATGATTAGTAAATAAACTATTTTCACAAAATATATGATAATCTTTTTCATAACATTAAATAAATGTTAAATTAAACAATGGTCTTAAGTAGAATTCAACAACATGATTGATTTTATGAATTGTACAGTTTATTGTGATCCAGTGACGTTGCACTGCACAGACACATGTATGCCTAGACGATATGGGCCAAAATGTAATTTAGGTAAGCTGCTTTGCTAAACAGTTATATTATTATTAGTATTATTGTTGTTTTTACTTGGTATTGTTGCCAAATAACTTCCATTTGCACTCTTCAAAAAATTCTTATACTCTAATCAGTGACATTCCCAACAAGTTGATGGCAACAAAAATAAAATTAATTTATTGCTTGAATGTTTATTGATAAGACAACATTGATTACTTAAACAATATTTGAAAAGGTTCTTCTTGAGCTGAAAATTGATGCAAAAATGTTTTTAACCAGATTGTCCTAATTGTGGAGACAAGGGATACTGTGACCGGGCACATGGCCACTGTACTACTGGATGCCAACAAGGATTCGCTGGCAGTAGATGTGATGTAGGCAAGTATTGGATGTGAACATGGATGTGCTGGAAGTACATGGGAAATAGCCATCTATTTGAGGTAAAGGTGCTTTCACTGGCAGTAGATGTAAAATAATGATGTTTACTTTGGATGCATTAAGGTCCAAAGAAACCACGTACACAGTCCAAAGAACATCTTCAGTGATTCTGTGACATGCTCTCTTAAAACATTTTTTGCCACACTCTGCAAAAGATGGAATTTCATCAGTTCGCTTGAAATAACCATGGATTCACTGGCAGTAGATGTGAAATAGTCATTTATTGGATGTAAGCATGGATTTGATGGCATTAGATGTGGTGTAATCATTTTATTGGATGAAAATATGGATTCAATGGCAGCAGATGTCGTGTAGCCATTTTTTGGATAAAAAGATGGATTCAATGGCAGTTGATCTGAAATAGCAATGTATTGGATGAAACGATCGATTCAATGGCATTTGATCTGAAATAGCAATGTATTGGATGAAAAGATGGATTCAATGGCAGTTGATCTGAAAAAGCAATCTATTGGATATAGAGTTGGTGACATATATATATATATATATATATAATATTATTATTTTTGGCATTATATTTGATAATAATATATTACTGGATGTCAGGGTGGATACAGATGAATATGAATAGTGCAATTATTAATGTCAGTGTGGGTTATTCTAATAAATATGAATAGTGCAGTTACTGATGTTCTGACAGATATGAATGGTGCAAATATTCTATCTCAGCAGACTAGCATTGTCTTTTAAGTTAATAAAAAATATATATCTTCTAAAGCTATTGCCAATATACATTTTTTTTTTTGCTTAATTGTGTATATATAAAATGAATGTAGATGCATCAGAAGCATATTTGGGTTATGTATTTTTACCTGTTGCCTAATTCAACAATGTAGAATTACAGTGTAAAAAAAAAAAAAGAAGTATTAATAGATTTTAAACTGGATATATGATTTTCTTAAGTCACATTAACATTTTAACCTATCACATTACTTAATTATTTGAAATATCATTTCTGTTTTTATATACATTTCTTTTTAAAAAGTCAAACACCTAAAAACTATTTTACAGGAATTACATCTTTCTTTAACAAAGCAACATACATTTCTTTAAACAAATAGCAAACTGATACAATTTTTATCTGTTGCAGAATGTAGCAAGAGATGTTTGAACAGAATGTGTCACAGAATCACTGAAGTGTGTTCTTTGGGATGTGTTCGTGGTTTCTCTGGACCTTACTGCAACCAAAGTAAACATTTGTTTACCATTAATGCCATATCCCCCCCCCCCCCTTTAACCTTGGTGTGATATTATTTATATAAGAATGAGCTAGACTGACTATAATGCCAAAGAGACGAAGTGATTTAAGTACGTTCGGATTCTTAAAAACAATTACAGTGATTTTCTATTATTTTACAGAAATCAAATAAATTTAAATGTGCAAAAATTATGATATGTATCCTCTTTTATTTTAATAAAAATTTAAGAATTATTATTATGAATTACAACTGCAGTAGAACCTGGTTATTTCAACCTCGGTAACTCGCCAACCCTGTTATGTCAACGTTTTTTAAATGGAACCTCCAATTCTCTCTTTTTCTTAGTATTTTCTCCTCGGTTATGTCGATTCTTTTATTTCACCGAACCCTAATATCTCCAGCACAAGAGGTGGACAAATTTGCCACTTAGCCTCGATTATCTTGATTCCCATGAAAATTATATATAACAGAAATTTTCCTACTTCGAAGTGTAGTAATTGAAATGACAATATCATTGTTCATGCATTGAACTTGACACAGCAAGAAGCAAGGAGTGATAGGCTTGCAAACAAAAGGAATAGGTCAAAGTACCTGTACTGTGTATAATGAGCCCGCTTGTTGCTTTCACGCGTTCGTACACTTTGATTTTTTTTTTAAAAAGCAGAAACCATATTTGAATTAACTGAATTGGCCAATCCTGAGCGAGAGAAAAAAAAGCTCCCGTATTCGGAACTGAAGAATATTTAGCCTCACAAATCCGGAAATCCGTGATAATCCGGAAAAGTGGCACCCCACATATGCCTTGTGTTGTTTAGCAAACATGTTTGTACATTTTTATAGTTTGCCAATCAAACAAATGGTGGTAACACTATTGTGTAAAAAAAAACTCCAAAAACACATGCATGTACATTCTCATTTATAAACGCGTGTTCATAAAGAAATTTCAAGCACATGTTAAAATATTTCTGCCATATTGTTTTTTATTTATAATAATAATAATAATAATAAGTGGTCTTATATAGCGCGGTACCCCGGCCTAGGGCTGGGCTCACCACGCTGTACATATATAGCAAAGAGGCATAATCATAATATTAAAATAAAATACATAAATGAAATAAAAACAACATATAAGCAAAACAACACCATAGGTCTATTCATCCACCCACACCAGACATTTTTACAAGGAAACCCATGTACGTTTATCGGTTTATAGGAGGAGAATCAGTCAGAGTAGTATAGTTTAAATAGATGTGTTTTGAGTGCAGTTTTGAAGGCCTGTGTGGTTGTTATATTGCGGATGTGTAGTGGCAAAGAATTCCATTGTTTGGGGGCGCAGAAAGAGAAGGATCGTTCACCATATAATTTAGTGCGTGTCTTGGGAACGGACAGAATACGCGAGTCTGCGGAGGAGCGAAGTTGTCGAAGAGGTGAATAGACAGAAAGAAGTTCAGTTAGATAGGAAGGGCAGGAATCCGAGAAAAAGTTGTGACAGAGAAGAGACAGCTTGTAGTCAATGCGTGCCTGTATAGGGAGCCAATGTAGTGAGTGGAGTAGTGGAGTGACGTGATCATGTTTTTTTGCCTTAAGAACAAGCCTAGCAGCAGAGTTTTGAACTTTCTGCAGTTTTTCTATAAAATGTTTCGGTGAACCTGACAGAAGTGAGTTGCAATAGTCAAGACGAGAGAGAACAAGAGCACAGACTAGAGTTTTTGTTGCGCTAACTGTCAGGTAGTGGCGGATGGAGCTGATCTGACGGATGGCGGTGTATGCCGAACGACAAATGTGAGAGATATGTTTATCGAGAGACATGTTGTTAGAAAGAATATAACCAAGATTCCTAGCAGAGGGTGTAAACTGTATGTCAGAGTTACCTACTTGAAATGAGGTGGGAAGAGTTGAGGTAGAGGATGATTTGTGATTGTAAATGAGGAGTGCTTCTGTTTTGTCATCATTAAGCTTCAACTTGCTGAGTGTCATCCAAGACTTGACATCATCAATGCACCCCCGCAAAGTCTGGACAGCGGAATCGACAAGAGATGGATGGGTATGCATGTATAGCTGTGTATCATCTGCAAATGACTGGTTCTCAACAGCATGCCTCCCGAGCAAGAGGAGTAGTGGTCTGGTATACATTATGAATAGAACCGGACCCAAAACGGACCCCTGTGGCACTCCGTACACCAAATCAGCACTGCCGGAGAGACATCCATCGACAGAGACCATTTGCGTTCTATCAGAGAGGTAGGACCTAAACCAAGCCAAAACCGAACCAGAAATTCCAAAGTAGTTTTCAAGGGTTATCTCGATCATCAGTTATCTTGTCGCAATTTTGCAAACCCCAAGACCGTCGACATAACCAGGTTCTATTTTCTATTTAAAATAACAATAAAGGAACTATTTTAAGCATTTTATGAAAACATTTTAATTATGCAAATTATGATCTGCAATTCCGTTAACCATTTTATAATTTTGTTCTTAAAATATGGGAGGGAGAGGGAGGGATACTTTCATTTATCCCGAGGAGGCACAAGATACTCCTCAGAACAAGGAATGAACTTGATAAATAATTACCTTCTTAGGAACATATGCTTTGGGGATATGAAATAAGATGTGTACATTTTTACAAGGATGACAATATGTGTAATCCAATTATATGACAGTTATGAAAAAGAGATGTTACATTCTATTTTTAAAAATAAACATATGTTTATCAATTAAGAAAATCAATGGCTTTAATAAAATGTGGGTACATCTACAAAAGTATAGCTATGAATATCAAAGCATTTTACACAAGTGAAAATTACATTTTGACAAACAGATTTGGATGAAGATTGTCTTTCTAACATTGAAAATATGAAAATATATTTTTTTTATACTTTCTGAAAAGTAAAATGGATGTATATTGTTATAAGATTAATAACATTAATGTAAAAAAGACACTCAAGGCTATTACAGATGTGAAAAACGGATAAGAGACTCTTCTTTAGATAAAAGAATTCTTTGTTTTACAATTTTCTGCATATATAGTAGAAAACACAGTAAAAGTTTAGTTAAATTTTAATGAAGATATTGGTTTATCTAATTCCGTTAATATAACATTTATTTAAAATGGTATTTAGAGTTTTTGTAGTAAATTTAAGATTCAGTTTTCACAATTTTTTAGAGAAATGAAAATTTAGTTTGGGTTAACAAAAAATTGTAGGCTAGGCACGACATTTAACAATTTAAAACACATGACATCTGAAGTATTTCTCTAGCATAGAAATCAGCCGTCAATGACCTCCTTTAGTAACAATAATGATTTAATTAATGATCATTTATTTAGTAATTTAAGGTCAGTCATGTTTAGGGGAGTAAAAAATGTAGTAAGGGGTGCGAAAAGAGGTCAGTTAGGCATATAAATATAGCATAAGAATACTTCTTTACATGATTTTAAAAACCTAACTATCATTACATAAATAATTTTTTTAAACGACGGAGTTGTGATGTGTTTTTGCAATAGAATGTAGACATTATTGCAAAGTGCCTGCCATTATTATCTTGATAACATCTGGTGATATTTTCTGGTATATTAAATTAATTTATCCTTTTTTTAAAAAAAATTTCTTCTGTCAACTCCAAAGTCAATAGTCTCTGAACATATTTTATTTCCAGCTAATTAATCTCAAGACAGATTAACCTTATGCTTTTTAAAATATTTTTGCATTGATATGACAGCTTTATGTTCACAGCAAACCTATTAGTTAAAAGTTACAAAGAACAGAAATGCTATTTTAATTACTGCAGATACTATTCCATTAAAGAGAAAATATGGGACAAAATAATTATATAAATATAGGCATACTTTTTATAAGTTGTGTGATTTTCTTATTGAGTTTAAACACTGAAATAAAATCCCATTACTTGTATTCCTTCTGAAACATTGCAAAAGAATATTTCCAGTTTTTAGTTGAAATGATCTAATATATATTTCCAAAGACCACTCACAGACTCACTTAAGCATAATTTGTTAAAGAAGTTTATAATTATCTGTTCTTGATCTTGTCAGGCCCATAGCAAGTGTACATTAAAACAAATCAATTTGATGAACCTTTAAACATGAATCCTTTTTGGTTGTTATTTGATGTACTAGTTGTTTATAATTGTATATTAAAATTCATTCTCTAATTTTAATCACAATGAAAAAGGGCTATCATCAACATAATATTTTTAATTTTAAATGTTCAATTTAGGATGTTTAGTTTACAATTTTAATTTTCTTAATTTTGTAATTTATTTTAATATACTTAAATATGTTCTAAATCTACACTACAAAAGACAGTGTCACTCTGACAAAATGTGTCAATAACAAGCTCTTCTGGAGCTATGTGTAGCACCAAAATTCCTCAAATGCTGGAGTTTCTTCCCTGAGGTGAAATGGCCATTTGACATCTGACCCAAAAGCACAGGCTGACCTACTTAATCAGCTGTTCCAGTCGGTCTTTTGTGACAGTAGAGAGTGATTGGAGGCTGAGTTCCTTCTAAGGACCAACATGATGAACAGGGCCTACCCCGACAAGGAAGTTATCCAGATTTCAGAACAGGGTGTGCTTGCCCTCCTTAAAATCATTAACCCCTACAAAGCATGTGGTCCTGACAACATCAAACCATGAGTGCTCAAAGAGTTGGCCAAAGATATTGCTCCTGCTCTGACCATCCTCTTTCAATTCGCCGCTTTGCACAGGCAATGTTCCAGAAGACTGGAGAACAGAACATGTCACTCCAGTCTACGAGAAAGGGGAGCATTCCGACCCTGCCAACTATCATCCGATATCCCTCACCAGCGTGGTATGCAAACTGTTGGAGCACATAATCATAAGCCCAGTCATGAAGCATCTTGAAAGTCAAAATATACTCAATGACTGTCAACATGGCTTTTAGATTATGCATCTTTTTTTCTGGGATCGATTTACTAAGAAAAGCATAAACAGGTTGGAGGCGGTCCAGCAATGGGCAGCACGCCCTGAACCACTACAGGAATACCTCTAGTGCTGGCAGCATGCTGGAAACACTAAACTGGTAACCATTGGAGGAATGACGACGTCTATTCAGGCTCTCCATTATGTACCAGATAAATAATGGGCTGGACCACTGCTCCAGCATTAATCAGAAATCATCCCTCTCCCCCATAGACAGCGTCGAGGCCATGACAGGCAATTCTGGCTAATACCAGCAACAAACCAGTATAGGAACTGCTCATTCCTTCCAAATACAATCAGGGACTGGAACAAGCTTTCAAAAGGAACAGTTGAGGTGACAACACTTGACACATTTGCATCTTTTGCCTCAGCAGCCCTTCCGACCCCCAGTGCATGATACCCTCACAAAGTAGCCCTTGCAACCAGCGAAATATCCTCATCAACACCAGCCACAGAAATATTGCAAATCCCCTCTACATGCAAAGGAGCTAAAATGATCAATAAATTGAATTTGGGCCCTTAATATATATATAAGAAGATACGTGTATGTGTAATAACCCAAATTAATTTAAAACAATAAACCCAAACATAGGATTGCAACCAAATGTCACATGATCTTACCACCTAATCCAAAGATGGTTGAAAATCACTATGCACAAAACTCTGTAATTTTTAAAATAGTCAAATTTTCATGTTTGCAAAAAAATAAAAAGCCAATTTTTAATAAGGGTTTAGCATTTTGCCAAATTCAATAGATAAACAGCGTCCTGATAAATATATAAATGACAATCTCAAAAATATTGTGACCATTGCCTTTGTCCACTCATCGCCAGATGTTCTATGCTATTTACTATATTATGTCTTGTTGGTCTTCATTGAGAAAACAAAAGCAGCATTTTTTAAATCAAATTATTAAATGGGTAAAATCTGCTCATATCTGCTCATGTTTTTATTAATGATGTGTTTCAAGGGAGAAACTCCTATGATACTACGCATTACTTTAATGAAGTAATGTACTATAGATGTTTTAAAGTTTTAAATTTTGTACTTCTTCCATACATATTTCTTTGTAAGAGGAAGTAGATGTATAAATACTTAATTATTACTAAGATTGTCAAGTCTTTGCTACTCTGTTCTGCAGCAGAGATGTTAATGGGCTAAACCTGTTGTCATAATTTATAATGAATTGTATTTAGGGTGTGCCGCCTGTGCTGGAGATGGCAGATGTACACAGGGCTACAGAATATGTTTAAGTGGATGCTTGGAAGGTTATGAGAGCAGCACCTGTTCTGTCAGTAAGTAGTGATGTTTTATCATTCAGTAGAAAAATCAATATGCTAATTAACTTTTATTTTCTCTGCCTTTTTTATATTTGTAATTTATTTTGGAACAATCTATTTAGTTTCTTGTTAAAAAAAATATATATATACATACAGTTTGTTTTAAATTATTTTAAAAAAGACAGCATATACTAAAAAAGAAAAACTTTGATACAAGCACACATTAATTATGTTGCTACTGTCATTTTAATACAAATATTACATTTTGAAAAATAATTAACAAATTGTTGGTTTTTATTTTTAAATATTTTTTTTCTTGTTTATTAAAAATAAAATATATGGACACCAAAACAACATACATCCAATTAGGAGATTGATTAGTTGGTGACTGTGATAGGCTAGAGAAGGATAGGAGTAGTTGGTGACTAATAGGTTATCGAAGGATATGAGTGATTGGTGACTTTGATAGGCCAGAGAAGGGTAGGAGTAGTCGTATAGGAAATGAGTGAAACAAAGCAAGGTTAAACCTGAAAAATGGAATTTAAAAAAAAAATATATGTAAAAATATAACACTTAGCTGAGAAGTAGTTTATATATTTTTAAAAAAAAATTTATTCTGCTTTTTGTTAGCTTTTGAAGGCTTCCTGCCGGCACTTTCATTGTTTTGTTGCATTCCCTTTTTCAGGTTCAACCTTACTTTGTTTCACTCATTTCCTATTTTGCTAACCTGATTGCAGTCTCTCCTCTTATCACGTAGGAGTAGTCAGCTGGTTGGATGTTTTCGGAGATTAATCTAGACTTGAAGTAGGTGATTATTTGGAGTTTGTCTGAGTTGAAGTTGAAAGATATCTTTGGGGTTTCTCCTCTTAATAGGTGAAAGTGAAAGTAGTTAAATATAGTACCCAGAGACAGGGGAAGAAGGGGGTGGAAGAGAGCAGACGATAGAGAAGGAAAGAATACTGTAGAGAGAATAATAAAGTGTAAATCACCAAAAGCTAGAATGCAGGTGTAAATATCCCACTATATATATTGAACACATTTTTTTGTTACATTTTACTTATTGAACTTATTGATTAGAAAATTATGTTGATGTAGATCCAACACTGTCTGCCAAACAGAATTTTTTTATTTACAAATATGTATGAGTTTGTTTTTTTTTTCTTAAAAATCTTCAAAACAATCTCAAATATTTTTTATGCTTGGTATTGTTAATATGATTTTTTAATGGAAGTGGCTGCTTACACCGTGGCTGTGTACCTAGCAAAACTATGGCCCTGGGCCTGCATACACTGCGACAAAAAAGTACCATTGGTCTGCTTTTATAATATGCCTGTTAAATATGATCTTGTGTGGTCTTGTGATAGTGGAGTAAAGTGGACACTAGGCGATATTGTGTTTTGTGATCAATTCGCAGATGGTGTTCAAGTTTGTTTCCTCCATTTTTTATGTTTTATATATAAATTATTATGTTCATTTGTAACAGTAGTTTCATGAGAATGTTGAAACAAATTGTGTAGCAATTTAAATATTTTAATTTTATGTTATATTCAGATTATCAAGTGTTATAATTCAAACTTAAACAAGTTGTGTCGGCCTATGAATTTGAAAATAATAAGTTAGAAAACAAACAGAAAACGCATGTATCATGTATTTAGCATGTATAGGCTATAATAACCACGGAGCAATTTTGAATACTAAGTGATATTTTTTTGCATTTCCAAATTCTTCATGTAGTTGATGTAGACTACATGTTTTCGCATCGAACGAACATCCAAATAAAATATTAATATGTCATATGAATATTTATGTGCATGTTTCAATTTCAATCATCTTGCTTTCACTATGCATTGGCAAAATGTACAGCTGATATCCACTGTTCATTCACAATCTTCAGTCTCGTAGCAAATCTTTTGAAAACACCAATATTTTAGAAACATACAGAGCGGTAGGTCTGCGTTTACCCTGTTTAATGACAGAATTTTGTTTCCTGAATGGCATGGCATGTAGTATTCTCAGGGTAAAAACAAACGTTGTCTTGCAGAAACCATTGCACAATGCGCGTGGGACAGGATTTGCACTACATCAAATTTTTAATTTTGTTTTTAGTTTTAAAAATCCATGCGGGGTGATGGGATGAGTTATGGGCATAGGCTCAACAGGGGGTTTAAAACCAAAAAGGTGGAACACAAATCACGGCTCTGGATAAGGGTTGTCCACAAAGGACGTCCGCACAACAAATTTACCATTTGCATACCCCCCCCCCCCCACCCACCAGGGGGATTAGCTGATGTCCGCCGGTACTTTAACAGTGCTTAAAATCGGTATGATATATATGTTCATCCATATATTAATGATGCACTGTGGGGGGAGGAGGGTGTTGTTAATTTTGGATATTTTGCCTACTGTGGTTTACATTGGGAGGTGGTTTGGCTGAAAGAATGTACGTTTAATAATTATCCTGAATTTCTGACACTCTAATACATCTAATAAGGCCAACATTAACCTAAATATTTATCATCATACTGTTGTTTTTTGTTGACAATCGCTTGATATCACCATGACAATAGTAATGGTTAGCCTCAGAAAAACTTTAACTTCAAGACCAATGTACCTGATTCTCTGTCTGTAACGTATTTGTTGCGTAAGTAAAATATTTGAGTTCACAAAATAGATACATTGGCTCCACTTTCATTTTCATACCCCACGCCCCGAGCGATCACATAAAATCTTATATGCGCCACCACAAAGTGGTGCATGGGTGAAAAATTGATTTCAAATTAGCTATCCTTTTTATCTCTTAAGGTTCACAATCAGAGGATAAAACTTACAATTATTGAGAAATATCTTTGTATTTCAATATACGGGGACAGGGGAAATAAAGTGGTTAACTTTTTAAGAAAATCATGTTAAACATTACAATTCAAACCCCCCCCCCCATTTCCATAAATACTAGGAAATACTTTCCTCTTTACAAATAATTTGCCACGATACTGTGTAACTTACAAAATTTATTTCAATATACGGGGACAGGGGAAAAAAAGTGGTTAACTTTTTAAGAAAATCATGTTAAACATTACAATTCAAACCCCCCCCCCCCATTTCCATAAATACTAGGAAATACTTTGCTCTTTACAAGTAATTTGCCACGAAACTGTGGAACTTACCAAATCTCTTCCTTTCAACCCCCAAAAACAACAATAAAAAAGTATATACATTTCTTTACAACAAAAAAAAAGTACAGTTCCAATCTTGTAGGAACGTTGTTCTGTTGCGTTCATGCAGGAATTGGGACATGCGCGCAGTAAAAAAAAATATGTCTACAACTTTTGTTTAATCTTGCAGGTATTAAATGCTTTTTAAATAAATAGTTTTCAGTTTCAACAAGAGTATAGCATTAATGTTACAATTACCGGTTAGGCCATCAAGTTTAAGACTCGCAAAGACCATGGTTTTGCAATTTAAATCAATGCAGTGTACGCAGGCCACAACCAATGATTTTGCTAGCTACACTGCTGTGGTTCACGCGGGCCAAAGTCCATGGTTTTGCTAGGTAAACCGCCCCAATGTACATAGTGCAGGCCTTTTTTAATTTTTGCGTGAAAAATAAAATTATTCTTAATGTACTTTATTATTATTATATGTGTCTTTTAATTATTGATATTAATATTTCAGAATCCAGTAACTTACAGGACACCTACTTCATTATCTTCATGTGTTGCTCAGTCTTTGCCACCCTGTTAACTGTTTTGTTTACCATATTATTCAGAGTAAGACGAAGATATATGTCTTCTTTTCAGCTGGAAGAATTGGAGTGATATTTCCTCTAATAGTCTAAGTCTGCTTGTCAACACAGACTTTGAGTCCTGTCTCTTTATGAGTGTTAGACACTCAGAATAGTATCAACTCAACAATTAAAAAACTGCTGCATGAATGATTATGTTTTCTATTGAAAAGCTAAGCATATTGTGTAAGACATGAATCAGTAGGTGAGAAATTATTTGAAAATAACTGTAATGTTAGTAAATGACATTCAAAAATAAAAAGCAATACACATCGTAAAGAAATATTCATGTTCAGTATGTATTATTGTCACAAACTAATGCTATATGTACCGAGTAATAAGTATTTATTTTCTTAAAGAAGACCTCTTTTATTTTCTTAAATAATTAAAAATGTTTTCTTTGAAATGTTTTGTTGAATTTCCTGAGTTTTTAATGGGAGCAGTGAACATTGCAAATGGCTGTAATGAAAGGAGCCTGCATGACATGTGTCTACTGTTTTGTGGTACGTTACACCTTCTCTGGATCATTATTTATTTATTGCAAACTCTTAACACTGTTTAGAAAAGCTGGGTTAATCTTCAAGAACTGTTATAACAAAACAAAACAAAAAAATAAACTTTAATGTTGGCCTATAATACAGTGGTAAGTAAGGCAGAACAGAGTTAGTTCACAACTGTCTCCTTTATAGAATAATGAAGTATGTTGCAGGCTATCTGAGTGTTACTAAATGTTACAGAGAATCAGCAGCTTTGCTAACTGATGTGATGAATAGTAATCAATGTATTTTTTTGCTCAAAACAACAATTGGCATCTAATTTATAACTAAGAAACGACAACTCATTAGTGTCTAATGTCCTCAATGATACTGATAACATTGTTTAAAAACCTAGTAAAAATTAGATCTGCAGTCTTCAAACAAGCTGAATCAATACAGAACTTGCACAAAATGAAACATTTATTCCTTAGCCAGCCAATGTTTACATGATTTTTATGCAAAGAGCCTCCCAAACATCAAAGCAGTAAATGTGTTAGCCAACATTTATGAAGATAAGATTTGAAATTATTACTAATATTCAACTGTAGATTCAATGTACAATTTTTGTTAATACCAGTACTGTTGGTTTTAGTTGAAGGTAAAAATGGGCTGTAGAATGTGAATCTATAGAAAAATCTTTTGCCTGTTACAAAATTGCAGTTAAATTTAAAACATTTTTAATCCAGAAAAAAACATTTAAATAAGATGCCTTTTAATTCTATTGCATTTGATAGATAAAAAAAAATTAAAGATTTGTTTGGAAATCTCATATTGTTTCTATGATTAATAATTATAGCCATCCCATAAAATTGTCTTTTATCTTTGTCTGAGATCATAAAATTTATGAATAGTGTTTTAAGTTTTACTTACTTAAATATTAAAAAAAAAAACTTTGTTTGACCTCATAATGTTAAACATTAAAATCAGTTTAAATTAAAATGAAATCATCACAAAGGATAATAATAAGCTACACTAATTCAATCCAAAACAGAAAAAATATGAGCTCTCAACATTTTTAACATAATCATAGGGACCCAAAATGAGCTGCTCATCTTTTTTGAGTTCTTCAATTATAATAAGACTACCTTTAGTTTCATTTTCATATACTGACAAACGTTGCAAGACACACAACTGATTTGCAGTTGTACGTTTAGATATGTCCAAAACCATTGACACTTTCTCTGAAGTGCTTTTATCTTTGCATATAAAGAGGCCAATCAAATAAACATTATCAATAGGTGCAGTATATATTCCAGTTGTTGGGTTAAAATGATTACCAAGATTACATCTTACATCTGTAGTTGGTTGGGCTGCTGGTTGCCATGAATTCCCTTTAAACCATGTAAATGCTGCATAGCCTTTCCTGAGACTTGTACTAAAACCTGAATGTTTTTTTACTGTTTGATTTTCTGTATTGTGGGAATATAATTGAATTATAATAAAACTAAGTTTTAATCTGGTAGATTTACAGCATCAAAGGCTTGCTAAACATTTGAACAGGGCTAATGTATATTAAGAAATGTTGTTCGTTTTGTTTAAAAAATGAAATTTCTTAGTGTGGGATATTTATTTTTTATTATTTCAAGAAAAGGTGGGAGTAAAAAATGAGGTAAAGGAAAAATTTTAAAAACATTTTATTTTCATGTTTTTGGTTTTATTTATTCTGTATGAACAAATACTATTTGCATTGACATTTGTTAAAATTAATTTTTATTTGAACACTATTCCTTTGTAAACATTGTTTGTGCATACAAACATTTTTCAAATACATTTTTAAATGCAACTTCTTACATTAATACATTTAATTTTAATTGGGAATATTTATTCTTTATTACAATTACAATTTGAAGCAATCCATTTTTAGCTACTATACTTTCTGTTAAAAATTAATTTACTTGTGAAGTATGCTTCAATTTCTATTAAATGTTGGAAATGGTAAATGTTCTAAAAATGATATTAACTTACCCATAATATTCATTTGATCTTCCAGTTTTGACACCTTGAAGCATAATCTGTCAACCTAAAATGTGCAACTGCAGTTCATTAACATATAATACATATAGAATATTTATATATATCAAATTTAAGGAGTTGCATAACAGACATAACAGCTAAACAAATATAAATAACTTTATCAATTAATGTTTCTATATAATTTAACAAGAATCTTGAAGATAATACCATAACCAAAAAAAGGTTTCCTGGACCTCAAAACTTAAAAAGTCTTTGCTCAAAAAAAAGGAATATATTTTCCTTTACTTCAAAAAGCAGCACTATATATTTTATGTAGGCTTAATATTTAATATTACTATGCACATAGAGAAATTATCTAAATCGAAAGAAATGTAAATACATAATCTGTTTGGTAATATGATAAACCTACATATGAACAATTAAAAGAAAAAAAAAAGAACAATGCTATTTATTATTTTACTAGCAATGGCCATCTATAAAAAAACTATTTATACAAAAGGTTTCTAATTAATAAGAATTCACTATTACCTTCTTTTGTTTTTCTTCTAGAGCTGAGGATTCCTTTTTTAATGAATCTTGAAATTTTTCTAAAGGTGCCAATTTCTTATAAAGCAGATTACACCTTGTGCCACACTGAATAAAAAATAATATAACGGTAGTTTATATAATATCCTGAGACAAATGAATTTTTTTAATAAGGGGTGGGAAAAATACTGCTACATGCGGCCTGGCAACTGATGTTTTGTGGCCCCTGAGGGCGTTTAGAAATTTAAAAAATATCTTCGTTTTTAAGTTATCTTTTTGAATTTTACAGAATGTCATGTTCCATTCAGAGTGTTTTAACATTTTTTATCAAATTTCTTTCCAATTTTCTTTTTATGTAAACAGTCCTTGACCTTTGATATGTAATGCTAATATGGCAAAATATATATGGGGCCCTTTAAGAGCTTTTTCGTTTGTCAATGTGGCCCTACGCACACAAAGTTTGCCCGCCCCTGCTTTAAAATGTATTTGTCTTAAACATCATGGCAGCTATAGCACCTAAAGCCTTATATGTCCCTTCTATGCCTATAGGACACCTCTATGCCTATATGTCCCCTCTATGCCTATAGGGCACCTCTATGCCTATATGTCCCCTCTATGCCTATAGGGCACCTCTATGCCTATATGTCCCTTCTATGCCTATAGGGCACCTCTACGCCAATAGGCACCTCTAAACATATAGTTTCCATTTATCTTTTTCTGAGGGACAAACAAAAGAAATACTATTAGGATATTAAAACAGAACAAGAGATGTAACTGTTTAAGAGGCTGCACTGTGTTGATTAACCTTTAGATAAATTTTATCACCTCATGTAATGAGAAAATGTGCAATGTTTACACAAACAAGGTAATAAGATATTTTTATGTAAGAAGTATAAACTTGTAGAATGAAGCATTATTGTCATTTGATAATAATTCTTTTATTTAATGTTTCTTACCTGCTCATCAACACCTGAAATTTGTTGCTGCATTTTGTCAAAGTTTTTATGTTGCTCATCTTGAAATTCCAAAAGCATTTGTTTGGATTTGTGTAATAGTTGTGACATGTTATCAACATTATTCTTTAAAGGCGATAGTAAATCTTCACAGCTTCTTATAGCACCTTCATTTTCTTCAACTCTTTTAGTGAGAGAATTTATTTGTTGTCTCATAACAGATATATCGACATTAGCAGATGATGTTTCTTTCACGATGCAATCTATTTTAGAGCAATATTCAAGTCCATTCTCCTGAAGCTTTTTGACATTTTGTTTGCATGTCTGCAATTGATTATAAGTAACATTTGATTTTTTTGAGTCCTTTTTAAAAATGCTTTCAATTTCGTCAACACGAGCCATAAATTTACTTGTACATTCTTTAACTGCTTTGTCTGTATCAGCCTGGTGTTGGAAAAATGTCTTGGTTATTGATGACATAGCCTCTTCCATGACATCAATTCGTGCTTTCAATTGTTCTATTTAGAAAGATAATGATTTTTTTTTTTAAATTTTCTCACTTATGTTTTTAGCTTTTAAAAAAGAATTATATTTTTATTTTAGATTTAAAAAACTTGTCATTATTTTACATATTATTGCATTAGTTTTAACACACCCTGTTCAGCGAATGAAAATTTTTAATTTATATTCTTTCATAGTATATAATTTTAATAAATCCATGTTTTATTATACTGGTAGAAATAAAAATTAAGTTTATATAAAATGATGTAATAAATAGTGAAATGATAGGTTTCTCATCATGAGTAATTTAAAGAACCAAAATAACCATCTTAAATTAATTATCAGAGTCTACTTCATTATCTTTTCTCTTTTTAAAATGAATCTAGCTATACATTTTTTTATTTTTTTATTTTACATGAATTCTTTCTAGATAGTATAGTTTAAAAAAAAAAAGAATCAGCATTTTTTAAAGTACTCTTAATACCAACCTGAGATAAATTGTTCCTCTTCCTTAGGAGAAATCTCAATAACTTCATTTCTTACATGTGGCTTATGTAAAATTTCTACTCCTGTTGGCTCACGTAGTTGCTCAAATTTTTCTTCAAAGCCACCAGCTTCCACATTGTGCTCTCCTAAAATATCAACATTGAAAAAAAATGTGTTCGTTTAAAATGTAGAACTCTTTGGTATTTTTAAATTTAATTTATACTTTGTTATTTTTATTAACAGTAGTTTTATCTCATCTTAATACCGGTATTTAAATTGCACAATGCTATATCAAAAATAGTAATAATGATGATCTCCTCAATGAAGTGATTTGAGTTTATAGACCTGTTAGGTTATTAACATGCAATTTAATTAAAATATTTTTGGATAATTCAATTCACGAAAATATTATTGTATCACTTTAACTTTAGTTTATTTGTTTATCATAAATTCCAGCTTTCATTTACACATTTTCAGCATTGGAAAGTCACATTAAATCATTTTATTTATTTAAATACATGTACAAATAAAGATGCATTTGATTTTAATTTTCAACACAAGTTGAAATTAAAACTAATGGGCTTAGACTTAGATTTGAAAAAGATTGACACTAATGTCTTATGTGCTTTGATTTTACATTTCTTTGCCAATAATTTAGTATTTACTTGTGATTTCCAAACATTTAGTGGAAACATATTTTAAAGCATCCTCAATAGCATGACACATGCTTAAAAAGCTTGTTTCATTTTCTTTTCCATCACTCCAGACTTTGAACTGATTTAAGACCTTGAAATAAAAAAAATAAATAAAAAAGCAAACTTATGACTTACTTGAATTACAATTAAAGCTAGTGGCTTTCAATTCATGAGTAGGCCTAGGCCTATATTTATAACAGTATTTTTTTCTTGGCAACTGTATTGAAACATTAGTTAAAAAAATTTACAATCACTTTAAAAGAAATAAATGAAATATAAGAAGAGTATTATTAATTTTAATTATAAAACCCTAAATCCAAGTCATCTCTTAAATTTTTAAGATAAAATTTTATTTCTGTAGGCCTGTAATTTATAAATATGAAACAATAACTGTAGGCTGTAGGTATGCTACTCTAGTCTTATACTATAAGTAGGCCTACTGACTTATATTTTTTTTTAAATAAAAAGGCTCCTTAAAATATGTATTTTTAAGCTGTTGTCTATAGGCCAAAACTACTGACATTCAAATTTAATTATTTTGTTTTCAAAATAACTATAAGTAATTCAAGTGTATCAGTTTCAGGCATGAAAAAAAAAGTAAAAAATTGTTTTCAGTAATTATGATTTAGAAAAGAAACTAATTCTCTACTGCTTTTATTCCCACAATAATATTATTGGTACCGAAATAATTATTGAATAAAAGTAAATGCGGTAACTGCAACAGAATATAGTCATATAGCCAGTAAAAATTTGCTATCCCCAATATTATAAATAATTATATGTACCAGACCATACTTAATTTTATTTATGCATTCTAATACGTATACACTAAGTTTTATCATCAATATTTATGTGTAAATAGGATAGTATAGTTCACTAGGCGATATTCATTATATTAAATGTTTAATAGTTATTGTTAAAAAATAACAATAAATAATGCAACATAACTTAATTAAAATAATGTAGGCTAGGTAAAAATTACAACACTATTCCGTAAATAAATTAATTGACATTTTAAAACGTCGCTAACAAAGTGTTAGATAGAGTTATGAGTTATGACTTTACACACGTAATCCATACATGAGTTAACTACAGACATAATTTGACATAATCCTTTACTTTCTTTTAAGTACATAAAGAATATAATTGTACACTCACACTATTGGTCCTATCCAACATTGACATCAAATTACGTCTCTGCACATCCAGCTGTTTAAGTAATACAGAAACAGCATCGACTTGATATGATGGAGGCATAATTTTATTCGTTTTTAAATGTCTCCTGTTGCTTCCTTTTGTGTCAACGGAGAACTGAGACTGCTGATGAGCCAACTTTTAATAAACATGCTGTCTTTGTACTTCTGTACATTTATTTGGAACAGTGGTTCTCAACTTTTTTCATACCACCGCTTAGGGCGTCTTCACAACCTCTGCACATGGGCGCCCGCAGAAAACTTTCCAGGGGGGGGGCAAAAAATCGATTAACTTTCCAGGGGGGGGGCAAAAAAATTTTAGTAATGTTTTAATATAGTTTTAATTTACTGTAGCGTATTTGTATGGTGAACGAACGGACAGGACATCAGCTTAGTTACTTTCTCTTTATTTTCTCTTTACTTTAATAAAATTTTTGTCTATTTTTGTCTAAAATTTTTTTGTATCCAATCAATCCAGGGGGGGGGGCAAGTGCCCCATCTTGCCCCTACCTGCAGGCGCCCATGCATTGTGGTGTGTGTGCCTGTGCGGGGGTCACGAGTTCACGACCAGCTGACACACACACACACATCGCCTCGTTCACTGAGCCAGCCAGCGAGGGCGCGAGTGTGTAACAACAACACGGACGGTCGACTGGAATCCTTTATTTTGCTTGTTTGACATTGCTGTATTTAGTTTAACTATAAGGTATCACAAAGCACGTTACGAGCGGAGTTCAGTAAGGTCACTATGTAGTACGATCTCTGACCTGGGGGAGAAAGTCAGTGTCCCGTTTTATATGTGAATGACAGTGCATTTCTTTTTCAACACGTACACATCACCAGTGCACCAGCCATCCGACGTGCAGGGCCACAGCTGATGGGATTGTAACCAGTGACTTTGGTATCTTATTAAAGTTAAGCAACCGTTAAGACGCACACTTAGCGAAATTCAACTAGCTGTGAGGATTCGTTACTAAACTAGACTAAATATCTGTGGTTATTATTTATTCACTTTTTCATCTGTCCCTTGCGCTGGCTTACTATTTGAGTTGACACCAGTCAGTTGTCAGTGCATACGGCCCCGTGCCATGGAAATTAAATTCGACGGCAAACGAGCTCTTGTTACAGGCGGTGGGAAGGGCATCGGTCGCGGCATAGCCATAAGACTGGCCGAATGCGGCGCTCAAACTGTCGCGGTGAGCAGAACCGAGGCGGACCTCGCGGCCCTGAGGGCTGAACATCCTTCCATCGAGACGCACGTGGTGGACCTCAGCGACTGGACGACGGCGCGGCGAGCGATAGAATCCCTCGGCCACTTCGACCTGCTGGTCAACAGCGCCGGCGTGTCCAGGATCGCGCCCTTCGTCGACGTGAAGGAGGAGGATTTCGATTTCGTCTTCAACACCAACATCAAGGCCCTCTTCAACGTGTCCCAGGCGGTGGCCAAGTCCATGATAGCACGCGAGACGGGGGGCGCCATCGTGAACATCTCCAGCGCGGCCTCCACCCAGGCGGTGAGCGAGCACGCCGTCTACTGCTCCAGCAAAGGGGCCGTTGATTCCCTGACCACCGTCATGGCCCTGGAGCTGGCCCGGTACAACATCCGGACCAACGCCGTCAACCCCACGGCCGTCATGACCGACATGGGCAAGTACTCGTGGAGCGACCCGGCCAAGGCCCAGCCTCTCATCAACAGGATCCCCTTGAGGCGTTTTGCGGAGGTCGAAGATGTTGTCAACGCCGTGATTTGGTTGCTAAGCGACAAGGCCGGCTACGTGAACGGCGTGACGTTGCCGTTGGAAGGAGGACTCCTGGTGGCTTAGGTTAAATGCTTCTGTTAAGCTGTTTTATGATTGGACTCCTGGTGGCTTGATCCTGGTTTTATTAAGCTGTTTCATGATAGGACTCGTGAGCTTTTGTCATATTTAGGAGGGTACATATACTTAGCCCCTTGGTTATTGGAGCATGTTACCATAGAACAAAACATTATAGAACAATATTACAAATGACAAAGATGTTAAATAAGAAAGATGTTTAATGAGAAAGATAATAAATGACAAATATGTTAAATGAGAAAGATGTTAAATGACAAAGATGTGAAATGACAAAGATGTTAAATGACAAAGATAGTTAAATGACAAAGATGTTAAATGACAAAGATGTTAAATGACAAAGATGTTAAATGACAAAGATGTTAAATGACAAAAGCGTTAAATGACAAAGATGTTAAAGGACAAAGATGTTAAAGGACAAAGATGTTAAATGACAAAGATGTTAAATGACAAAGATGTTAAATGACAAAGATGTTAAATGACAAAGATGTTAAATGACAAAGATGTTTAATGACAAAGATGTTTAGTGACAAAGATGTTAAATGACAAAGATGTTAAATGAGAAAGATTTTAAATGACAAAGATGTTAAATGAGAAAGATGTTAAATGAGAAAGATTTGAATGACAAAGATGTTTAATGACAAAGATGTTAAATGAGAAAGATGTTTAATGACAAAGATGTTTAATGAGAAAGATGTTAAATGACAAAGATGTTAAATGACAAAAATGTTAAATGAGAAAGATGTTGTTGTTATTTCTTTAACTATAGACCTACATAGTGTTCCAAAAGAACTTCAGCTTTCTTGCAGTCAACCATTCTGTTTGAACATCTGGCTTGTAGATGGCCACCCTGCCCTCTATCACGTCAAGTGTACGTTTCTAGGTCATGCACAATATTCACATGTTGGTTGATATGTTAATGCACAATCTTTACAAACCTGTATTTTTTCATTATTCAATCATTTACCTTTGCTTGCATGCAGTTTGTTATAATGAAAACAATAATTTCAATGATATAGTACAAGCCTGCACAACATACGGCCCGCGTACCGCATGTGGCCCGCCAGCACCCACTTTGCGGCCCCTCGAAGTAACGTAAAATTCTTTATTCTAATTATTTTCTAAATAGCTTCCCCCCCTCCTCCTGTCCTATTTTCTTTTGGGCCGCACAACTTTTTCATAAAGTATTACGGCCCACTTTACATTTTTTTGTTGTGCAGGCCTGATATAGTAGATATATTTTAGAGTTGCTGATCTAGTGTTTCCCTCAATAACAAGATTCTTCGAGGCTTTTAAATCATGTGATCATTCTAACACTTGAATATTTTCCCCATCTGATTGTTAAGAGGTTTGCATTCATTTTGGAAGTTACATCATTTAATGATATGAACAGACGTTCCTCAGTTCCTTTTTTTTTTTTTTTTACAAACCAACTATATTATTAACATGGCTTGCATGGTACCACTTAAAAAATATCTTAGTTTTATATATTTGGCCTGTATTTGTATTCACCGCCCAGAATGGTCGATTATCTTGAATATTTTCCCCATCTGATTGTTAAGAGGTTTGCATTCATTTTGGAAGTTACATCATTTAATGATATGAACAGACGTTCCTCAGTTCCTTTTTTTTTTTTTTTTTACAAACCAACTATATTATTAACATGGCTTGCATGGTACCACTTAAAAAATATCTTAGTTTTATATATTTGGCCTGTATTTGTATTCACCGCCCAGAATGGTCGATTAATGCGGACTGGTCAATTAATGCGGACTGGTCAATTAATGCGGACTGGTCAATTAATGCGGACTGGTCAATTAATGCGGACTGGTCAATTAATGCGGACTGGTCAATTAATGCGTTGTATGTAACTAGAAGCAATTATATTTTTTTTCTCCATGTCATCCTGTTTGTACTATTGTGTTACACTGAGGTCCCGGGGGGGGGGTTGTCCTGGTCAGACTACTGGTCATGATGAAAAAAAATGTCTTACGTTCATAATTTGATCTCCAATGGTTTCTTTGAAGCATTAAAATACATTTGAGGCTTTTTTCACTTTCCCCTTTTGATGTGTTTTAAAATGTGTGTGTGTGTGTGTATGTTGTTTGTTTACATTTAAGGTCACCAGCTGAAAATTAGGCACGTAACTAAGTTCATAAACCTCTCCCACACCCCAATCCTCCCCCTTCAATGGCGTAGCTAGGGATAGCTAGGGATTTGGGGGCCCGGGGGGCTTGGCCTCTTTGGGGGCCGCTGCATTTTGAATTTAGACATTATTTAATGTAAAAAAAATTTACGGGCGCTCCTTTGGGGGCCCCCCTCAAGTAGGGGACCGGGTGGGGGGGACTTTTGAATTTGGACCTCCCTCCCCTAGCTACGCCACTGTCCCCCACCCCCTTTTTTTTGGTCTTCAGATTCAGCCCACTTACCACACTAATCATTTACACACACCAGCTTTTATATTATTTGAAGTTATTTGAAGAAAAAGCTCCCAGGATTTTACTAATTTTATGCTATTCTTTCTATTGAGCAAACTGTTGTTGATATTTAATTTCCCAAAATGAAGAACGCGGGTGAGTGAGTTTAAAAGTAGAATTATTTGAATGTCCAATGAAAGTACCGGTAAAAACAAATAGTGAAAGTGCTGATGATTATATTTTTATAAGGATTTTTTACAAAAATGTATTCAACTCCATGAGGAAGTGCACACATTATCCCTTGGCAGTTTCTAAAGTAGAATCTATACTGACCAGGATATATTGTGAATACCAGTATTATTTGCAAACAACATAATTAACTCTTTTTTTTCTTCTTTCTATTTTGAATTTGGTGCCTGCCTGATTTTAAATTTTTTTTTTTACCAAATGAAAAGCATGAATGCCAGATGAGTATGATATATTCAGTGACTTGATTTTTCACCTGTCCTGAAATTGTTTGCCTCTCAACTGAGACAGACTGGGTGAACAAGTGAGACAAATGTAATGAAGGCCAAACACATTAGTAACATGATGTTTCAGATTTGTGACAGAATACTTAAGTACACAAGTGTAAGAAAGAATTTTATTTCTTTTTTTTAATGATGGAAGATGGACCGAGATGGAAACCATCCATACAATAAAATAAACAAACCAAATAAATACTTTATTCATAGCCACATATCTTTATTATGAATCACAAGGAAATCCTTTACGTTCTATAAATGCAGGGGCATGAACTCATGAAGTAAAATTGGAAGTGACTAAATGAGTAATCTCCACCAGAACACTGATTTACTGTTACCTTAATTCAGTCGTGATCAACTGGTCAACCAAGTGGATCACATGTTTGCTGTTTAGAAGTTGGTGCTAAAACCCTTAATGTCCTGTACCCACCCAAATACTCTCTGATGTTGTTATTGTATGTGCTCTAATAAGGATTAGTGTTATATGTTTACTTCTCATTTATTTAAACTCATTACCTCCCCCCCCCCCCTTTTTTTTTTTCCATCTTCCAAGACTTGTAAACAAATATTTTTTGCTTTTTGTTAAATGTAATTCTTAACTTTTGTTTAGAATGGGTTACAAAAAAGATTTATATGGGTGCCTATGGATCAAAAAGGGCGCTTATAATTAACACCTGGAACGCTTTAGAAGTGTTGCTGCTTAAATTTAAAGGCCTTAATTTACTTATTATTTTTTGTCGGACAAATGTTAAGATGAATCTAGAAGAATCCGCTAAAGGAATTTTAATACTGATATTTTACAGTTTCATACAGCAATGAAAATATACACACCCTTCACAAATATACATATGGGAATGTGACAAATTAAAAATATTCACAATTATACACAAGACATGAACTATAAATACCACTAAAAAAAAAACAGTCATAAATCTAAATTATAAATACAACACACAAAAAAACATACAGCCATTAATCTGTCAGGGCATGTCAAGCAGTTTAAATAATTATATTACATCAGAAATTTGAAAAAAAAAAATCATTTTATTGTATACTGGATTAACTTTTTTTTTTAAATACATAAAAAAAATGCTAAAATGTATATTTACTATAGTAACTCTAAGGTCCGTAATAATGATATATCTCAAAATCATAATTTTCATGCTGCATTGATTAAATACAAGCTTGACAGAGCTCACAAGTAGTCCCCCACATGCTGTCCCACAAATGCGTCAGGCTAGTTGAACATGCACATTTTTTACAGAGAATACATTCATGTGGATGCATATATATATATATAATATATATATATATATA